GCACCATAACATGATGATGCGCTGTCCACGGAGTGGTCATGGCTGGGGTAATCACTGCCGTCAATTGTAGAGTTCCCATACGAGCAATTCTCCCGCCAATTAGTGTATGATGTCGTTAGATTATCGCAAGAGATAATTGCGTCGCTCGGGTGTGGTCGACGCATTTTGGGGTCAAGAGTTCCTCCACAAAGTCATTCGCCTCAGTGCAGGAATGCCATTCGACAGTCATGCGGCTGAGGAATCAATGTCGATGGTGGTGCTGTGGTATCGGCCTATGTCTTCGGAGTGGGCACAAGTATTGTTTGTTCCATCGACCGTCTCGGGTCGATGAGGATGACAAGACATCTGCTCCGATTCGTCCTCCGCGCCATTGAGGCGGCTACACATGCCAAGTATTCGTTGTTGCTATGACGTAGCTTGCTTGTCTGATCACAAGTTGCCGCTCCCAGCAGCGCTTCAACTCTAAAGCTAGACAGTTGGTGCTCGATTTCAGATACACAAATTGTTGAAAAGCAAAAATCATGTTTCGATATGTTGTTTACGCCATCGAGGTGAATGCCGGCAACGTGTCCTTCGGGCCAAAGGCGCAGACCTTCGGCTCGTACGTGTTGGTTTGTGTTGCCATTTGAGCGATCGCACAGCACTTGCAGAAGAGACCGCAAGCAAAGTCTTCGAAGAGCGAGCCTGGAATCGAGAGCTTCTTGCGAACGTCGGCGCGCACGAGCATGACGCAGATGGCACACATCGCCAGGCAAATGTAGTTGACAAAGGCCCACGCGCTGCCGTAGAACCACGCGGGGCCACTCGTGGACCACGCGAGGCCAGTCATGATGCACGAAGTAATGAGGTAGATGGTAAACACGAGGCCAAAGGTCAAGAGAGTGATGCCGTACTTTGCAAACCCGGTGCGGTGGGCGACCTGCGCGAGGGCGACGCAAGGAAACAAGCACGACATGCACGCGTTGGGCCAGAAGTCGTCGAGGCAGTCGAAGGTATCGCTCTTCCATTGGCCACGAACGAGGCCGTTTTGGTCGATCTGAATGGCCGGCTCAAGCGCACTGGGCTCCTTGGCGCAGTACGTCGCTGTTGGTTCGGCATCCAGTGTTAAAAGATTGGCAAGCTCAGTAGCAAGTACCCCAACACGGCGATCGCCGCCGTACGTCGGCACGAGCAGTCGCGCAGTTGCTACATAAACTGAGTTGTCGTGGCGGGGACGTGGCCACACGTACTGTCTGGAGCGCGACATAGCTCGTCTGCAGCTTCTTGAACTCGGCCTTGAGCAACTCGAGCTCATCGTTCAAGAGCTTGAGCTCCTGCGCCATCGTGCTGCTGCTGCACCGGAGTTGGTGTACAGTCCGTCGACAGAGTCACCTAAGCTCGTGTCAGTCTTGTAGGTGGTGCGCTTATGAGCTTAGACGGGCTGCTGGCACGCCAGTGCATCAACCTCAGCTCTAGACCATTGCCCCCGGTGACGGCCACGACATGACCAAATCTCCAAGTATCCATATGCCGATTGCATTCTTCAGAAATCATGCAGGCTACCTGATTTTCAACGACCGATTCCTTACTTTGAAGAATTCTCAGGCTCGTTCTCTTCTTTTGGCCGTCATCGCAGAGATCCTCCTTCTTCGTCGTCGCCAACTTTGTTTCCACTGAGTGCTTATTGCTGGGAAATCGAGTTGGCGAAATTTCGGATGCCAGCGTCCCACGGTGACGCGCCACAAAAAAACGCGCCAAAGATACTTTCACTGCCTGTCGCGGGACTCGCTGTCGCCATTGACGCAGAGCTTTGACGCAGAGAAGCCGCGTCTTCTTTCTCTTTCTCTGTCGCTGTTTGGTCATTGCCATGACAAGAGGAGCTCATTTCCCAACTCTCCACCACCCACCACCACCACCCACCCTCATGGCGCCCATCGTCAACACCGTTTGGACCTCTCGGAAATGATACCGGCAGCGGCC